CTGATCCCCAAGTCGAGTTTAACAATTTTAAGAGTTGCGATATTTTTGTTTTGTTTTGTTTTGTTTTTTTTCTTTACATTCTTCGATGTGTTGATGAAAACAAAGATTTGGATATCAATAATAAGACTGAAAGGTAAGACATTTCACCGAGAACAATACCAGACGCCTATTTACAGACTTGGTTTAATAATTAATAGTAATCACGATGATGATTATAATAATAATAATAATAATGATGATAATGATAATATTAATAATAATAATATAAATTGCAAAAAGGCTTTTTTAAAAAGAAACTTATTGATACGATTTCATAGCTAATTTGCATATCACAGAGATGCGATCCGCACTGTTTTTAACCAAATATGATGAAATAATGTCATTGGATGAGCAAAAGCATACTCAAAGCAGGTTTTTCAGTAAACGATTGAAAGTCAAGCAAAACACAGCGAAGATTGAAGCGTATTTCCAGATGTACTCGACTCGCATCTTTGATTTCAGGTTGAGGTGAACTTTTTTCAAAGTGAGAAAACTAGTGTCCAGGTCAGCGTGGTGCCACAGCTGACTGTGTTCCTTTAAGAGTGATGTTACATCTTTTCAAGTTATAATAAGACGGAGTTAAAAGAAGATGATTGAATGATGAGCGTAGCTCACGTGATGTAGCATGCATGTGATGTAGCATGCACAACAGTGTAAATTGTTGAGTACCTTGTAAGTTATAAGTTATAACAATGTCTTGGTGGAGAATATTTTGTATTCGTGTAAACTTGACTGTTGGGTCAAGTTATTCAGATTGATGACTCGTTAATACAGTCAAGTCTCGATGCCATGTCTTTAGAAAGGCCCACTCCAGAATCCCACGCTGCTCTTCTCAAACTCAATGATGATTTATCAAGTTTCAACCAAGGAAACCATGATCGCGACGGTGTTTGGATATCTGATGTTAATGAGCATTTATTTTACAATTTTAGACTGTGTTTGACCATAGTTAATAGAGGGAAATGGTTAGGAAGTCTGGTAAGCATCAAAGAGGCTAACGAACAGACTAAGATTTATGTTGGAAGGTCCTTGACCCTGCACATCTTTTGTTTTATGCTCATTGACTATGCATGATTGCATAATCGCAGTGCATCCATTGGTTAGTTGTATGAGCACAATTTACCACCTTTTGTATTTTGCCTGATTTCTCTCTGTTAACTATGGTTTGACCATGTTTCCAAACACCTTCTCGGTGTTTGGAATGTGGTGAAACACAGTCTTTCGCGTGTGATATATTACGTCTAAAACGTGTGCAGAAATGTTGTTAAAATGGGTTAATTTTTTTACCTTTTCAGAGACGGTAATCAGCTGTCACACCATGCAGGCAATTTTCCCGTCACTTTCATGCTGATGCTCGCGGTTGTGGTGGCCGGTTACTTTGCCTATCACAACAGAACCAAGGTTAGTTAGTTAGTTAGTGATTTACATTTATCATTTTTTAACGTATTTTAAGCCGCGTGTTGATCTGTTCAGTGATGCAGCTGAATCACCACTTATTAATTAGGCTACTAGTCACCACTGATCAAGCCTGTCAGGACACCTTTCACTAGCATGACCTAGTTTTTTACTTTTATTTTTGCTTGTGAAGACTTCGCTTCTCAAATACTAACAAGCCTGTTAGCCCACCTATGAAAAAAAAATTCGTGGAAATAAAAGTTTATTGCAATGAACTTTTGGAGGAAGTGATTATTTAACACTGATTAAGTTAACTTGTTCATTGACGTTAAAGACTGACCGAAACCACTCATCTTGATAACATTAATTTTACTTATCAGATCCATCGATTCATAAAGGAAGGCTTTGGCAAGGCAAGGCAAACAGGGTCAGCTTACGTCAAAGTCAAACTGGACGATGATATCGAACTACCACGTGAAGCTAACAGGCAATACGTCTATTAAAACATGACTGGATGTGATTGTAGGTAGAAAAGAAGCAAAGCAGCTGTGAAACAGCAAATACGCTATACTTTTCTTCGAAAACAAAGTCATACCTTAGTTTCACCTCATGCA